TCGAAGATCTCCTCTCTTCCTCATCTGTATAGGATCTGTTTGAATACAGATGATATAGGAATTATACCCTTCAGTACATGTATTCACGTCTACTAGGTTTCGGTTCGAATGCGTACGGTCGCCATTAGAAGCCCTTTTGTCCTAGGAAGTTCACGCGTCGTGATCTAATTTCACGCGACAGCTCTCACCGTCGAGTGTGAATAATCGCGAATGCCGGATGCGATAGTCAAGCCTTTCCGCGCGAACATTATCGTGACCTTCGACTGGCAGGTGTTGGACGAGGGCTATACCTGTATCCGCGTAAGGGGTCTAATGGTGCGGGCTTCCGAGTCATTGAAAATCGCTAGTGTGGCCAGAATAGTAAACACGATAATTTCACGCATTCAAGGGCAAATGAAATTTCTCCTTCCCAGAAAGCACTTTCCGAGTGGAATGCGCGGACATCGTGACCGGCGCAAAACACCTCGACTCCTCGGATGTTCTCCCATCGGGGATTTATCACACTAATTGTCAGAGAAAAGCAGCGGCGTTCGTTCGACCATTTGCTCTCTCACGCGAACAACTTCGACGTATCGAATCGAGTCCGTTCGCCCGTAAAATAGAGGGAATCTTTCACCGCTTTCGGCGACGGTGCTACGAGAGGCTCTGTGCGATAAGCGCGCGCCGCCGAAGAAGACGGGAGGAGAGTGGGGGGGGGGGAGAGGGGCGAAAGTGATAATTTACAGCTAGCTGAAAGTGGCCATTCTCGAGCACAGATCGTGGCTTCACGTTCTCAGTGTGAAATGTAGAGGATTTTAAGTAGTACGAAGAATAAATTGAGTAAAAGCCGCACACACGCAGGCGGCCGGACTCGCGCAGATAGCGGCCACGGAAAATCTCATTTCTCGCAAATGTATTTGGGATTTACATTCGGCGCCGGTACTAATCTCGTGAAACGGGCGCGCTCTATCGGAAGAACGGCTTGAGATATCGATTTACACTACGGTCAACAGCGTTACAGAATTCTGCGGTGTGTGCGGCCAGTAGCCGAGAAATCGTATTGACAAAGGATACAAAGCTGCAGAGACTGCTTAATACGATGGCGTACAAGTATTAATTTGCAAAGTCCAGAATCGCCTTAAACTCGGTCCTTAGTTACCGTTTCCTCGAAATAATAACTTACATCATTAACCAGCGTGTACGAGCGTTCGCCAAATTTCAATAAATCGCATTACATCGTGTTTCGTCGGAGGAATACCGATATATAGTTGAGATATAATTAACGGATGAAAAATGAAACTACACAGCTAAAAACTTCACTGATTCAGCAAATCTATAACAGTAATATGCGGACGGTCAGTTTTCTTTCTATGTTAAGGTATCAAAGTTGACAGCTGAATAAAATTGGCGATTTGTTAAACTATCAAATCTTCTTAGTTATAGAAGTCGTTGAATTCGCGCAGTTAGTTATAGCTTTTCTGTACCACTCGATCTTTTTTTTTTT